GCAGAGATAGAGCAGCCCAATGGTAATTCCAATTCTGAACTTGTATGAGTTCTGTTAAGATAAAGAAATGAAAGAAAAAAGGATAAACGTGCACACTGTAGAAAAATGAGTTGTTTCTTTAAAAAAATCCACAACAAAAACCAAAGAATCCAGACACTTCTAAAGAAACATTTCTCTTTCAAAGATAGGAAAAACTTGCTTGCTGGTTTCAGTGATTATTATTCAAGCAAGGAGTGGTCATCTTTTGTAAGAATGTAGAGTACTACAAATAGAGCAAACAACAAACAGAAAGAAACTGCTAGGTTTTCCTTTCTTATTTCCTTGGGTTTTTTTTACCTTCATATCTTCTTAAATCATTCCATGCCATTAGATAAGAAGAAGGTTATATCTACCTCCAAGCAAATGGCCAAACTTTCTGGATAACCTCAGAGACTGTTCCATGCATTGCTGAGAGACTGCTAAGAGTTGAATTTGATACCTGATACACTGAAGAGATTTATCTGGACAGAGAAGATACCATGTCCTGCTGCTTGCAGGACAGAGCATTTCCACAGGGCTGACCCTGGAAGAGTTTGCAAAAAGAATTTAAGCTATTGCCCATTTATCTATTATAGTTATTAGAGTCACTAAAAGTTAGATTTTTAGCAGCTGCTTATCTTTTTGAAAAGTCTCAATGAGGAAAGCTAGGCATGACTTCTGATAGTCAAGGCATCTGGCAAAACCTGATAGACACTATCAGTGGTGTCTAGAGTTGACAAAAGGCGAGACTGTACAGAAAGAAATTAACTTGGAGAACCTGGAGAAGGAATAACTGGAGGGGAAACTGGAGAGGAAGTGGAAGGCTTTGAGGTAAGATTTTTTGATGGTTTTCGCTACCACAATGTCAGTAATGGGCATCACAAAGAGTGACGCCTATTACTGCTCTGAGCTTGTAGACCAAGCAATGGGGAGATTTCAGTACCAGAACTGCAGTTGTGAAGGCAGTTTCTGCAGAATAGACTCAGCAGAATAGCCCAAGCCTAGGAAATTAATATCTGGTGAAGCATCCAAAACCTTTAGGAAACTGGAGAAGAAAAATCACTGTGAGGGTAAAGATCTGTCAGCTTCTACGTACTGCCAGGGTACAAAAATTTCCAGTCTCAAATACTTAACTTCATATATGAATTATCACTTAACAGTACAAGAAGAAAGGAAGTTTGCAGTCATAGTTTATTTAGGCTTATTGTCAAACCTAACAGTTTCACAGTTGGTAGATACAATACCCATCTTCCAGGCTATTGATATAAGCAGCGCTAAAAATCTTTGATTTAATGAAACACAGCTTGTGTTGTCAATCAGCAATAATTTCAAAGGGGGTTAGGAAAAGTTATCAGAGAAAAAGACTGAACTGGTACTTCTCAGTGCAGAAGTTATGTCACAGCACGACTGACAACAGTCAGCCAACCAATGGTCACTCAACCTTCCTGAGGATCATCCGCTTGATGGGACAGCAGATACATTCAACCAACCCGGGAACTTGCCCAGGAAGGAGCTATCCAACTACTCACTGAGCACCCTACTGCCATTAGAGTGTTGCTATTTATATTGTTATTGGTTGGAAATATAACTCTGTATGCAGTTCTTCTTTGCAAACTTAACTCTTGTCTTTCATTGAACTATTTCTCAGGTCTGCTAGACAAAGAGCAAATGACAAGCATCTTGGTACTAAGGAAGAGGAAATACAAAAGACAAGCTAGTCATGCCAAAAGTCCATCTAGTGCAATATTCTGTTTCAAGTAATGGTCCTAAAGAAATACCTAGAATGAGCAATAACAAGGGAAGCAGGTATGATGACATTCCCAGTTCACTTTCACCCTACAATTACCTAGATATCAGTAGAATTCCTAAGTCTGATGTAATTTCACTGTTTTAAACACCACCATAGTTTTTTCTTCACATATAAATAAAAAGCAATGTAGAGAGGAAGCTGTACAAATGATGCAGAGGTCTCTTTCTTTAAATGTTTATTGATTAAGAATTGCAGAATTGGTGCCAAAAAGTTGGCATGTTGAAACAGTCTCAGAAAAAACTTCCTATGTAATTGTAAACCATAATCTGTGATGTGTCCTTAAAAACTGAGTTTGTCACAAATAGTTTCTGGATAGCTAGACAGATCATATATGCCTCATATATTAAACATCAGATGATCCAAATTTGGCAATGATTGCGTGCCTGATGTCATTGTTATAAGACACTTTTATAGTTGTCCTCTGTCAACAAAGCACTAAACAAAGTTTCTCCAGATTAAGTTTGTCATTGTAGTCAGATGTCTGTATTTTATGCACATATACAGACACTTGTGCATATATGGGTAGAACATATATACATACAGCTGTCCATAAGATAAAAGTTTTCCAGAAGTGTACTGATTTGTTCAGACTCCTTGTAGAGCAAATTATCAAAATTACCCCTTCTGATTCATTACAGAATAGATCAGGTTCTCATTTCATAAGGTTCTTTACATCTGTTCTCTTTAAGATTTTCACCTTATAGCAAACTTATAGCAAACATAGGAAATTCCTTTTTATAACCTATTATTTTCTTTACAAAAAGTCTGTTTTCTGACAGGTCCCTTCCACACCAATGATTCATTTGGTGAAGATCTCAGAAGCACTTCCACATAACGTGGCAACATGATAAGAGGTATATAAGGAAACCTATAAATGTATCTTAGATTTTAGTGGCAGATATTCTGAAAGAAATCTGCAGTTGTACACAGTAGCTTTAAAACAACTGTATCAATGTAACACTAATGTTCTGTATCAAGGAAAAAAGGTGTATGTACTAGATCAATCTTGGGTCAAGCATTTAAAGAACGTATTTCCATTTAAAGTTTTAGCCGATTTTATATATGTCTGTGCAATACATAACTAGATGTCACATGCTGTCCACTCTGAATAAGGATGAGTTCTAATTTTGCTACCTGGCCTTGGCACTGAGTGGTTGAATTTTTCTCAATCTAGTATCTCTTCTCTAAAATAAAAACAAAATTTCCATCCTAAAGGACAGAAGGCCACTACCTAAAGTAGTACCTGATGTATTTTAAGTTGCCTCACAGGCATAAAACACCTTTCTCTGTAAATTCAATCAAGAGGCAGCATTACCATTAAAACAATTTCCCCATGTCTTTGATAGGAAACAAAAAATCCTTTCCCCATAATTTTATGTGAGATATTCTGCACAAACTCAAAAATAGATACAAAAAGTTTAAAATCTCAGTGTGATAACAGTCATTCAATATATCCCATCTCTGTACTGGGTAGTTTGGGTAGCAATCGGAAGACTGCGAACCCACCTCTGTGGCTCAAGATCCAATTTAGCTATTTTTACCCTTTAAAAATGTCATTTCAAACACACTCATGAATCACACCAGTATTTCCTAATTGCTTATGTATATTATAATCTCGTTCACTTTCCCAAGTACTAATTTAACCAGTTATTTGGGGGTCTTTTCTGAGCAGCAGTAGTGTAGGTCTGCTGCTTGAACTACCGTACTTGGCCAATTCTTTGTTTTCTTAACAGGAAACTCAAGAAATTTAAAGTAGAGATTTTCACCTTCTTTCACACTGGCAACTGTTCACATATAACCCATTTAGCCTAAATTAATAGAATTCGGTAGAAAACCAAGTTCAATTTTTACAGCCTATTTCGGATAGCATCGCAATATTTAAAAACCTATTTTTGTTTGGCCAAACTACATATGTTAGTCACAACTACTTCATTAGTTAGTGATTGCAAAAGGACCAACACTTAGAAATTATCAACACTTATGTACCTGCTTCACTGTTACTCAGTAAACAGTTCTTACTACTGCTTAGTTTCTACTCACATGAATCGTTATCCACGAAAATCTTCATTTTAAAACCACGCGCTAGGTTGTTACTATGTCAGTGCAAGGGCTCCTGAGTGCCTACTCACCAGGCCTTCTCTTTCGACACAAGAAACAGCCCCATTTAAAGTAAGATTTTCTGCAGTTCAGTTGAATTATACTTGACCCATATTGGATTTTTTTCCAACTATAGTATCACTGAAATTTGATCAACACGTAAGTACTAAGAGCCTTTTAGCCCTAAGCATTTACAGAGTACAGCCACATTTAAAACTTATTATATATTCATTTTAATGCTGCTACCAGACTGTCCTTCTATTCCTATTTTCTCTGGCCTTTTTATATTCTCACTTCATTTTTGTCTACAGTATTAAAAAAGGGTTATGTAATATGATGTTCTGGTGAATGCAAGACCTTTTCTACTCCCTAATAAATATTCAAAAATATTTTGCATACATCCTGTGAACAAGGCTTGTGAAATCATAATGGGATGACTTATTGAACATTCATCTTTCCTATACTGAATTATAATCTAGTCAGTTGGACGGTATAGCAAATCGTCCTGACACGTTTATATTAATGCATATTTAAATGAGGATAAGAAAGAAATAGTCAAATTTATGTTAAAGACTTCTAAAGGCTTAACAGCATCTTACTAAGTATATATGTCAGCTTAATCTAATCCTCCTACTTCTGACACGTTCTGTGGTCGCAGCATGGTGCCCATAATGCTCTCGTACGTTAGGAGGGATTGCCTCTGAGAAGTTCACCATCAGTACCACACTTTGTTCAATAAAACTTTATATCTGGTCTTAGGATGACAGAAAGCTATCTGTCTCAAATTTGCATTACAAACCTTTAGCTTCTTTTGACATCAGTAACACCACCTATAATAATTTCCAATAACCTGTTACGATATGCAGAATATACATATTCCTGGTTTTCATCTTACTGTGTCAGGTACAAAAAAATTTCTCTAACTTATTTTGACAGTTTTAAATAAAAGGAGATTTCTTTGCACCAGAAAAGCACTCATCTAATCAGAGGCTCATTTGTGAAGATCTATGGCAGTGTTCCCTCCTTTCAATCCAATGATTTTAAGGTCTAATCAGAAAAAAAGTACCTTTATTTATCACCACAGAGACATCCAAATACTCAAAATATCTTACGGCAAATCTACAGAGACAGGTAGGAACAAGTTTCGGCCATGCTCAGAGCTGACAAACCAGTGCTCTTTTGGAAGCCAGTACTGTTTCCTCTTGTGACTTGCTACATTCGGATTCACGCACTCTGTAAGTGGAACGAGCTTATTTCAACTCGCCTAAATGTATTAAATGTATATTTTGAATTCTATTCAGGTAATGAATTAACCTTCTGGGTAATGTAAAGCATGCCTTTTTTCCTCCCTTGGTCCTGAATCCAGATTTAGGAAGAAGGCTGACAAGTTAATGTGCTGTTGTAGATGAAACAGACTCAAGAGGAAAACAAGAAAACACTAGGAGAAACTGTACAAAGTGGTGGTCATCAGAACTTAACAATCTTGTAACACCTTGGGCTGGTGGTGTGGTCAGGTTAAAATAGCACCACCAGACTCAAAAGAAAGACCTGATGTTAGTTCTGGTATATTATAACTGTGAAGCACACTGAAGGACACACACATTCGCAGTAGTTCTGCCAGTCAAAACTGAAGACTGCCAATAGAACTGAGAAGACGAAAACCTACCTGTTATCTTGCTTATGGACACTGTCTAGGGATACTGAAATGAAGGGGAACATCTTGCAGACCTTATACAGTGCTTTTTTAAACTTAGAGTTAACATATTTGTGTGAGTACATCCTAAATTACGACAAATAATTATAATAATAGTACAAAAGGCAGTCAAGGACTTAGTTCAGTAATGTGCTGCATACTTTGGAAAGCTGAGGAGGCTTCACTGGAGGCTACATGCTTTTCAAGGCTCCATATTAGCAGAACACTTAAGTATTGCCCCTGTGTCTTAAAAATATATTAAAAACTAGTCTCCTGATTTTGAATAAGAAACAGCATATGGAACAGTTTTAACTCAGCCTGAAATTATCAGTAAGACACACTTCAGCAACCACTATTTTAATTTGAGGAATTCTTTTCAGATATATAGCATATTTCTTCTTCCCATTACATGAACTTTCTGGAAATTTTTCCTAAGTAGAAAAAAGTTATTTTAAAATTCTTCATCAATGAATTAGTGCTACTTGTAAATTTAATGTATTCTATATATGCTACAGATTTGCAAGAAAGTATTTCTTAACAGTGGGGATAATGATAAAATTGCTATAATGACAGGAATTATTATGACAGTGCAGAGAACTGAACACAACCAGACTGAATATATGACAATCACAACAAATCTTTCTACGTCTATGCCATTTGTAGTATAACATGAATGGAAATGAATCCATTTTTTTTTTGCACAATTTATATATTATATCGAGCAATATATTTAATAAAGCAAAGGAAATTCATTTGGAAGTAATTATTCTATGGCCTGAGAAAGATCAGAAGGAAAGTAGGCAAAATGGTAACATTAATCCCATGCCAGGAACAGGTTTCCTTTTAGCACTTAAACAAGATGTAGCAAAAACAACAACATTCTGTCAGACTATATGTTCATTCCCTGCTTTCTGGATTAAATATGCTTATTCTATGCCACATTTCTATAGCTTTCAATTCCTGTACTTTAAATCTATTAAACAATGTCAAGTTGAATTTCCTTCAAAAACTGCTGCAGGTTAAGAAAAAAATATAGGACAGAAGAATATTTGAGGGCTAACATTTATGTCAGCTAATTAATATGGATCAGTTGTGGTCTGCAAGGATTTTTAAAGTGCATGCATGTTCGAGGTAAATACAGACTAAGTATCTGATTTTGTTCCTTCCCAAATTGATAACAAAGCTCTTACTGATTTCAATACAAGTATGGTCTACCAGTTTTATAGGCCTGACAAATAAAATAAGGTTCTGTGCTCTTGCATAATGTTAGTTGTGCCAAATTGAGCATAGCCCAATACAACATTATATTTATTGTTCTATATTCTCTTTACTTAGTAAGGAAATGAGATTTTGAAAAAAAAACACAACCAAACCCCAAAACAACCATTGGGAAGAAACAGTAAATCTGTTTGGTTAGCAAGTTCTGTTTAAATAAATTGGTAAGAAATCAGCCCATGTTCAAAACTGGACACCCTCTAACCTACAGGATACAATACCATTTCCTTGTTTAAAAAAAAAATAATTTCATTATTTATTTTCAAAAGAGTCTTGTTAGCTCACAAAATTTGGTTATTTGAACACAGAAACACAGTTCTAGATCATGACAAAAATTAAGCTACCAAATGGACAACTGTTTAAAGACTTTTATGCAAAAGATTAATTCTCCCTATAGTCAACCCTAAAGTGGCTGGGTTTCTCAGCAACTTCTCTTTCATGGAATCACAGAATAACTCAGATTGGAGTGAGATCATCTAATCCTACCTCCTACTCAAAGACAGGCCAGATGTGAGATAAGAACAAGCAATCCAGGGCTTTATCCTGTTTAGACTTCAAAAGATCTAGGAATAGAGCCTTTTTATATGAGAAGCATGTCTCATTCATAAAAAGAACAAACACATCTTAATCATTGAATCATAGCATTGCTTAGGTTAAAAAAGACCTTTAAGATCACCAAGTCCAACTATTAATCTAGTGCTCTCAAGTCCACTACTAAACCATGTCCCTAAGCACCACATCTACATGTCTTTTAAACACCTCCAGGGATGGTGACTCCACCACTTCCTTGGACAGCCTGTTCCAGTGCCTGACAATCATTTTGGTGAAGAAATCTTTTCCTATTATCTAATCTAAACCTCTCCTGGTGCAACTTGAGGACATTTCTTCTGGTCCTATCCCTTGTTCCTTGGGAGAAGAGACCAACCCCCACCTCACCACAACCTCCTTTCAGGTAGCTGTAGAGAGTTTCTGTCACCGTAAGCCGTACCTGTTTGTAGTGTTTCAGCATCAAAGACATCCTCCTTGAAGAAAGCTCTAAAAGACAAAGGACTTGCACTACAGTCTTCTGAAAGTTTCTCAACAGCTTGTCTGAACACAGCAACTAAGGCATTAAGAGGTCCATCTAAATCAAGCTGGGAAGCGCATGGTGAAACCAAGCTCAGACGTACAGAGATTGATGCACAAGATGTAGAACTAGATTCCACAGATTCACACTCAATTTGGAAGCCCTCTGACAGCATCTTGGTTGCAAAATGTTTTCTTTGGAGTGGATCATCAACTGCTGCAACAACATGCCATTCAATCGCAGCATCTCTGGGTAGGTGAGATATTACAACCACAGCAAGCAACCCACACACTGCAGTGAAATCATGATACGCCTCTGAATCTTCAGCCTAAAAGATAAACAAAATATTGCGCATATTACAGAGCTGGTAGAAAATAATGTTGCTCATATTCAGCTGATAAATTCAAGGAAATAGGTGCAGTAGAGTTATTTCATGGCAACTGTTTTTCCCCTAAATTTTCTTCTTATTGAAATGTCATCTTTAGCAATTACAAATTTGTCTGACAGTTATTATCTACCCATTTCTGCAATCTCAACTACTATGCCTGCACCATTAAAATAAAAGCTGATAATAATGCATTTTGCACTCATACCAAGGTCAAAAAAAGAGTCTTTTTGCATACATTGTATGTACCAAAGGTCTTTGTGAAACAGAAACAGTAGAAACTATCAAAACTGCAGAAATCAGTTAGTAAAGCACTTATAATTTACTTTAAAAGTTGAATTACTAAAGATACAATTCAGATACAGCAAAGATACAGTTCAGATAGTTCTGAACATCACAATGATCTTGAACAAACCCTCTTAGAAGACAAAACATGTTTTCTTAATAGCAGAGCTAATTTAGAAGGTATATTTAAATTGTTTTCACATCAACCAGCACGTCTAATTAGCTACCTTGATATGCTAACTCTGAGTAACTGAGTTACTTTCTTTCTGACAATAATAAAGAATTGGGACCAGCTTTCTACTTACTTTTTGGTAAAAAATTTAATATCAATTGCACTGTAGGACGTTAAAAGGTATAGCAACTGAAAATAAAATTTCAAAATACTGAAACGGTCTTCTATGAGACAGAGGAAGAAATTGTGAATTTGTAGCCATTTCAACACAAATAAACTGTACCTATGTGCATTAAATAGCCTTTGAATCTTAACAAACTCAAGACAAGTTCTTAAAAAAATTATCTTTCCCTGTTGCTACATACTGGATACATCTGGATTTCATCTGGATACAAACAAAAAGAACCCCAGAGCTTTAAACTGGGAACAATGCATCATGGTGGATTGACTCCATACAGCTGCTTGCTCACTCCTCCCATCCCCAATGGCACAGGTGAGAAAATGGGTGGATCAAGATAAAAATGTTTCAATAAGTGAAGAAAACAGGAAGAAGAAAGGCAAACATTAAGCAATACAAAGGCCTCAACACCTCCCCATCAGCAGACTGATACCCAGTTAGGCTGTGAGCAATGCCTATCCTCCCAAAGATCTCTCTCTTTAGTTTTTATAACTGCATATGACATTATATGGAATCAAAAATCCCTTTAGTCAACTGGGGTCAGCTGTTCCAGCTGTGTCCTCTCCCAAATTCCTGTGCCTACTCTCCTGGCAGGGCAGTGTGAGAAACAGAACAGACCCTGATGCTGTCCAAGCACTGGTCAGCAATAGCTAAAACCCCAGCACATTACCAACGCTGTTTTGGTCACAAATCCAAACCATAGCTCCATACAGGTTGCTATGAAGAGAGTTAACTCCATCCCATTCAAAACCAGTACACATGTTTAGGTCTGCTGTTACCTTATATTTAAATGCACATACTCATAATCCTATTTTTTATACAGCAGCGCCAGTTCATGGAAAGCAACCCCATTTTATGATATACATACTCTCAAAAAGTATGAATTCACATTAACTTATCAGCCCTCTGAACACAGTTTTTTGTTCGAACAGTTGTTCGAACAGTCAAAACGCCAATCCTGGCCCACAGATTTTTTTCCTTTCTTACTTTTTCTCAATTTTTATGAGGAGACAACACATTAAACATTTTTAATATTAGTGACTTACACTATCTTCTTTGTGTACACAGAAAATAACTTTTTTATATATCAATCTGCTTACAGTGCAATATGTATTGGTAATACTGTCCACTGCCTGGCCTCTGAAAGGAAAAATAAAAACAAGGCAAACCTGTCATTTTGCCTGAAGTCGATAAGGCCATATAACTCACGGTACCTTCAATTCACAAGCTCAATTTTCATCCACTCGCTCTCAACTTTGAGAGGAAGAAATAATGACAGGTTACAGGCACTTTATTTCAAAATTCACTCACAAAGTTATTGACAAGCATTTTGCACAGAATATCTTTGATGTTTGACCCTCGTGAGCTGTTTACATGAAAAATGCACTTCTATATTAACGATAGTGGAGTCTAATTCTATACCAAACATGTAGCAATTGCTTTAGCATTTCTGGTTTTGATACGGGAACAAAAACAGGCATAATTTGTCTCAAACTGCAGTCACTTCAGTCATAATAAAATCTCACTGAGTACTGTTTGGCTTTCAGTACTTTCATTAGGCTAGCCAGGGCTGTTATTAAGGTACCAACAAATAAATGTTATATTAGCACTTAACAGGAGGAGCACAGTATTCTCCTCTAGGAGATGAATTCTAACCTTGTCAATATAATTCTGTTCTGAGTGCTGTAAAACAATTTGAAAAGATGAAATACTGGAGCTTTGCACTGAGGTAAAAAAAAAAAGTCATGCTCATTCAGGCTTAAAGGCCACTTTGCTGGCCCAAGGTGCTGAGGTACTGTTCAGAAAAAAAGAAGTCTAAAGAAGCTCTCTCAGGTCACATCAAGCACTAAGACAAACTTTTCTACTTCCCTGTACTTGTCTCAGGTTGTTAAATCAATTACTCACTATTTCTGCTTGCCTTCAGCTGCCATTTAGAATACGCAGAACTACATGAAAATTAAGGCCAGAAGAAAGTACATTTCCAAATTTAACAAATGAGAATCATTCTGTGTGAAAGACTATTCATGGTGCACCTGTGCAGTACCATAGCACTCATAACCTTTAACTAGAGAGTTTGCACAAAGCACAACTGATGGAGCTACTGGGGACTAATAATCTTTCATCAGTTGCTACAGAATCTTACAGAAATACTTGTAACAATGACCTCTCCTGACTTAATTTCAAGAAATCGCTGACATTTGTGTTGTGCATGGATGCTGCATTTATGGGTTACCTTTCAGAAATTTACAGCTGTCTTAAACGGGTGAATATTTTGATGGTAGTCTGTCTAGTAAATGAATACAAATATATAAGGTCTGCTAAGAAATTCTATTTATACAATGCTGGAACAATATAAGTATGTATTAAGAGTGAAAATTAAGAGGAGTTCTTTTATAAGTTGCTTTTTACAATCGATTCTGCATTCTCATCAATGAGATTCAGTGCTTCCAGCAGACAGTCATGGCACTACGAAGATAAACGTGTTTTTAGGGTTCTTGCCCAAGAATACTGTTGTAGACTGTACTGTAAAGGAGCACAGGTTTTGGCTTAGTCCTTCTCCATCTTCACAGTCTTGGAGAAAAAAGAAAAAAAAAGAATGAGGTAGGGGATGGTACAACTAGGCTTGCAATTCTCGAAAAAGAAGGGACAATTCTTGGGAACCTCTAAAATTCTTATTATTGAGAGACAAGAAAACTGTTGGGGCAAACAATGTTGAAAGCAGTGATTCCTTAGAGCATATATAACCTTGTTTACAAGTCTTTACAAACTTCATTAGGCTGTAGGTGTAGCTGTTATGTAAAGCTATTTGTCCTTAAACACTTATTTTCTAGCTCTTAGTATTCAAATGATTTTTACTTCATGGGAGAGGGTCTGCCTGTTGAAGATTCCAATTTCCACTTGGACTTAAACCTTTCCAAGAACAAATACTGCAAGGTAGCTTTAAACTGGGAGAAGTTAGAATATCACAGGGAAAACCAAGCAGATTGCTGAGAGCCTGTGAAAACAAATGACTCCGTAATGATTTCTTCTTTCAGGAATGGATGTAAACTGGATCATCTCAAAGACCACACTATGGCAGGATGCTGATTCTGTCATGCTATGAAATGATAGATCCCCAAACTTTGGACAAAGATTTGCTATGACAAGGGATTTAGCTCTAAATGAATATCCTGTTAGATTGTCCTCAAAAAATGATTCACAGTATCTTCCCTCTTCCAACAAGATCATCTGCTACTCAATTTATCAAAGGCGGTAAAGATGGAGTTACAGAAAGTTCAGAAAAGGAAGCCAAAAGAACAGAATTCTTCAAATAAATGCATTGTATCTATATCATTCCCTACCCAGAGAAGGACTACAAACACTCTCATCTTTTAAACTTGCTTTGAAAAAAACCCACAACTCAACAAAGGACTTCTCCCACTGTGAAGAAAATATTGATATTCTTCTGATGATATAATACACATTTCAATAACTCAGGGGAAAACCAGAAGCTACGCAGCAGATTTTAGAAGAACTGAGAATGTGACTATTATTTACCTGACTTCTTATAATACCAAAGTAGGTTGATGCCATATTACTGTAACCACTAAGAGAGTGCCATGCTAAGCTAGATAACATCTTGTAAAGTTTTCATAGACTGGCTAATAAAGATTCAGCAGTTAAGAAAGCAAACAAAACATTATGAATTCCTAGGAAAGGAATAGAGCATAAAGCCGCTACCATTATGCTGTTGTGAAAAAACACAGTTCACCCACACCTTCAGTAAGATACACGAGTCTGGACTTCTCAAGTGAAAAAGGACATATTAGACTCAGAATGTGTTCAGAGGAAGAAAACAAGGATGATCAAAAGCTCTGGAGGGTCTGACTGGAAATGTTCTCCAGCCTTCTTAAGGAGAATATGACAGAGGTTTACAAAATCATACATGACATAAGAAGGGTGAATAGGGATAAGAATTGATTTTGCATGCTTGTCTTTCTGTACAAGAACTACGGATCATCAAACGACATTAGTAGGAGCATGGTTCCATAAAGAACGATGGTAGGTGACACCTGCAATTTCGTGATGGAGATTGCTGTGGTTGCAAGAACTTTACAGGGATTGAAGGGGAGCCTGAACAAGTACTCAGAACACAGATTCAGTGGGAATTATAAGAGAGAAATCTTAAAATTCTCAGTTAATTCTTACTTATACAATAGTTAACAATTTATATAAAATTTAATGATTTATAGAACTACTAAAGTTACTTTCATTAATTTAAATATGAATTAAAATAGTTTGAGGTTGGGAGAATGCTAGGGTGGTTAT